GAAAAAATCATAGTTCAAGAGAATGTTCCATGAAAAGTGAGTCTCTTTTCCACCTCTGAGCCCCACCCAATATCTTGTCCCATTTGCCAGGCAAAGCCCGTTTCTTGTCCCCCCTTTTAGAGGGTGTCAATGTAGTGTGAATGTGCTCCAGTATAATGTCCCCTCCCCACTTTTTTGACCTAAATGGTGGAATACCATGTGCTTGCTATATTGCACCTTGCTTATTTTATTTAACAAAACCTTGGCAGTTTTTCCTTAGAAGTACCATAGAGCTACAGTATTCTTTTTGAGCAGATTACATGTAATGATTTTTCTCTGATATAAAAGTAATAAATAACTCATTTTGGAAAATGGAAAAATAAAAGAAGAAATTTAAAATCACCCGTATTTTATCTATTCAGAGATAATCACTGTTAATAGTTTATTTTATTCCAGTCTTTTTTTTAATATATGCATATATATGTATGTATGCCTTGAATAGAGATACATATGCACAGAGTTTTTATTGGGATTCTATAAACACATTTTCTAAAATAAGTCTAGCAATTATTTGTGAGTCTTGAGTTTTCTTCCTAAATGATTTGGTTCTATGTGGGCTTGTGATTAAAATTTATGTTTATCAAATAGAAAAAGAAATATGTACCTCTGTTGTTACAAAAATTCTTGAGGGTGTCTTTTATGTTGTGAATGCAGTTTTCCACATGGTGGAAAGTGCGCCATTTCCCAAAAGCTGGGGGTGGGGGCGGAGGGGGTAGTATTATGGAAGGAGGTTGCTGCGTCCCACTGCAGTGACACCAGGAGGATCCTTGCCATGGCGCTGCTTCTTATGCCAAGGGTTAGCACGTCGATGGGTAACTCAGCAGTTCCTTTCTTTCTCAGGGCATGGATTTCATTGGTCGGGACGCCCTGCTGCATCAGAGGCAGAATGGGGTGTATAAACGCTTCACTATGTTCATCCTGGATGACCACGACACAGACCTAGACCTTTGGCCGTGGTGGGGAGAACCCATTTACCGGAACGGGCAGTACGTCGGCAACACCACTAGCAGTGCCTACAGCTACACCCTGGAGCGCCACGTTTGCCTGGGCTTTGTGCACAATTTTTCCGAGGACACTGGGGAAGAGCAGGTGGTGACAGCAGATTTTATCAACCGGGGAGAGTATGAGATTGACATCGGGGGACACCGGTTCCAAGCCAAGGCCAAGCTCTACCCTGTCGCCTCCCTCTACACCCATAAGCGCCGAAAGGATGACGTGGAGCTGAGTGACTTGCACGGGAAATAAGGCCATGGCAGTTTCGCCTCCCTGCTGTCTTATCCGGAGAAGCATCACCTCTGAGCTTCTCTTCCGTCTGACTCCATCCCTCTTTATCGAACCTTTGCCTCCCATCTCTTACCTCCCTGATATAATTTTGACATTTACCTACTTTTAAACTTCCTGCTTTGCAGCCTCTCTTGTCCTCCCATCTTCTCCTCCTCCTTTTGCAGTCCCCTTCCTAATACTCACTCTGGGCTCTTCTTCCCTTCCCTCCCCTCTGCTCAGACTCCCATGGTGGCAGGAAGTCTGTCTGACAGGCAGGACAGAAGCAAGCTGCACTGTGGAAGTGGGTTATGGTGACAGATGCTTTCAAACATGCATCTCAAAGCTAGGCAAGCTGGTGTCGTGCAGGCCCCAGGGCAAGAGTCCAGCCCCCATGGGCTGTTTCCTCGAGTAACCTGTTGATTTTGGTGGAGTTACTGTGTGTCCGATGCAGCCCCGTGGAATAGTGTGTGCCTTTTAGCCAGGCAGCTCATACTCCTGTTCCGCTGTGCTGTGGGTTGGCGCCTGATGACTCTAGCAAGAGGATGATCATCTACCTCACTGATAAGAGGCAGTGCGTGGACCTTGTCTGGTCTGTAGCAGAGACAAGCAGTTAACCTGACACCATCCTCATCCTCCCTATGGAACCAGTTAGCAGACTTTGGGCTAGGACAGCCTGCCTATAATCTTCTTCATCTCTTGTTGATCTCTATAATAAGGTTGTTTTTTTCTTTTTTAGCTAAGTAAATGAGTAAGCCACAGTGTTTGAAAGGGAAAAACCATGTTGCCTTTTGTGTTGCTTTTCCTACATGAAAGGGTCTGACCTCAGAAGGTACAACATCGATGTTGCTGAGTTTTCTGCTGTTAAAATGATGCTGCTTTTCTTCTAGCTATCCAAAGTTAAGCCATCCCACCTCGATTTTCCTCTTCTCCCAGTGCATTAAGTTGGCTTCACCTGTCCCCTTTGCAGTCGGCCCATGAGCTCAGCATACATTTCTCTCCCTTTAGAACAGGAAGGTGAGGTAGGGGGCGTGTTGCCTTGAGTAACTCAGCCATGCTGGCCATGCTGAATTCCATAGAGCTACTGGAATCCCAGGTGTTACTGCCTCTGGCACAGAACAAACAAAGCCACACAGAGGTGACCCGTGTCAGTCCATTGAGTTTTCTGGGTCCAGGGGGTATAAGTTACGTAGGGCTAGAGGATGGCTTTCCCTCCTTTCCTTCCATGCTCTTTTCTCCCATCCAGCCATCCCTCCACATCCTCTGGAATAGAGAATGACTTGGGCTACCCCAAGAGTGCCCTGTACACTTCTAAGCAGCGTCTCTGCTTTCTGAAGGTGAAACATGGATATGACAGCCCCAACGTTTAATTTTTCCCTTTACATATAAACTTCCCTACTCTGATTTTTTTAGTGCACACAAGCTGCTATTAGAAATTTTATTTCGTTAAACGGTAACATTTGGTGTCTCGGTATCTTGGAAGCATTAGCTCTGATAGATCTATAAGTATATTAAAGGAGATCATTCATTTTATTAGAGCAGCTTAGAATTCTTGGGTATCTTCCTTCTCTGGCCTTTCTCTGGGATCTCTTGTTTACCCACTTAAACTGGCTCCTTCTAGATATTTCTTGCCATTTCTCCAGCTAGACCACTCCTACTTGATTACTGACTTTAGTGTCCACCCTTCTGGGGGGTCTTCATTGGTTTATTACGGGAGCATATGATTAGAATTCTGTTTGGGGGCTGGCTGTTTTGGAGCAAATGTGTATTTAACTAGCTGAGAGATGCTGCTTCTAGGCAAAGAGGAGAGAGCAGGAGAGGTGTTGCCTGGCTGGAGAGCCGAGCAGTGAAACAGCAGCTGAGAAGGACTTGCGAGAGCAGGAACGGGCCTTGGCCAAGTGCTGGCATTACCAGCAGGGAGCTGACTTACCCTCAGACGATGTAAACAGGTGATGGAGAGCCACAGGTATCCCTGCTCTTCCAGTCACAGCATTTGCACCCCTCCAAAGTCATCTTTGTAAATGCAAACTTATTTGTAATTGAGTCCAAAAGAAATTCAGTTGTGCATAAGACATAACTCTTCCAACCTTCACTATGGCAATAAATTTGCTATTTAACTGTTACGTAGAAGTGTCACTACGTAATAAGATACAAATTGAAAAATAAAAGCTATCTCCATAGTTTAAAATTGGATAATGCCATCATCACAGTATATCTTTCAAATAGAATTTTCATCAGAAATATGTCCAACATAGAGATTTAAGAGTTGGATTCTTTTCTTTTCTGCACTTGTTAGTCGCTAGCTAATTACTGTCTTATTAATTCGCTTTCCTTTCTAAGAAGTAGGAGGGAAATCTGATGCTTTGTCCAAAATCATGCAGTGACTTTCTGTTGAACTAGGGCTAGAAGTACTGGCCTCATGTTTACTGACGTCACATCCTCCCCCCTTTGAGCACCTACTTCTCTTGCTGGGAAGGGAGATTGTGGGGACGAGCTCTCAGGCTGCACTTTGAAACCCCTTGTCCTTGATAGGGTCACACTCCTCAGACTCTGACAAGGCGTTGATCTTCTGGGGCATCACTTGTTTCTTGAGTGCCCTGAAACATACAGAGTTATCTTTTAGCACTTTAAAATTCATCCTTGGCCGGGCGCGGTGGCTCACGCCTAGCCAAGCTCTCTGGGAGGCCGAGGCGGGCGGATTGTTTGAGCTCAGGAGTTCGAAACCAGCCTGAGCAAGAGCGAGACCCCGACTCTACTAAAAATAGAAAGAAATTAATCGGACAACTAAAAAAAAATACATAGAAAAAATTAGCCGGGCATGGTGGCGCATGCCTGTAGTCCCAGCTACTCGGGAGGCTGAGGCAGGAGGATCGCTTGAGCCCAGGAGTTTGAGGTTGCTGTGAGTTAGGCTGACGCAACGGCACTCTAGCCTGGGCAACACAGTGAGACTCTGTCTCAAAAAAAAAAAAAAAAATTCATCCTCAAAGTCTCTCCTGGTTCCTTCATATATAAGCGGTGTGAATCTGGCATTTTTCTCTATTTGGTGTGAGGTGAGCTCTTTGAACAGGCAGGTCTGCCGGTGAGTGGCTCTTCCCTGCCTCTAGCATAATCACTTTGCCTCCGTCCGGTGTCAGGAGCACTTTAGACAGTCAAGAGGAGAGGGCAGCGTAATGTCCCTGGCCCACTGATGTCAGAGCTCAGCGTTCTGGACTCCTGAGCGGCAGTAGCCTCTCGAGTAAGCGAGGGGTGCCAGTGGAGCTCTAGATCCAGAGGCCCGGCTGCAAATCCAGCAGGCGCAGGGAAGGACAATCAGAACGCCCCCGTTCCCGTGTCATTTCCATCTCTTGGGCAGCAGGCACATGTGTTTGCCTCGTGTGACAGCTCACTCTGGGAGCTGATGACTTTGTTTTCTGTCCCTAGAGATTTGAAGGATTCTGGGCTCCTGTGAGTGGGTAGCTGGACTTTAGCGTTAGGGAGCTGGGTACTTTTTCTCTCTGAAACTATCCGTCATGTGTGCTCTCCATGGGGGAGGGGCTATGCGCTCTCTCGTCTGCGTATTCAGTGAAAGAATCTTTCTGAACTTAGAAACAGAAAGTATATTGGCCTCAAACAGATGAAGAGCCAGGCTTACAAGTTTTCTGTGGGCCTTCTCCTCCCTTGAAATGTCTTTAATCACTTCCCCTTCGTTGCTCAGGCCACAGGTAAAGGCTGTCCCTTAGCACTGCACTGTCATGTGACTTTTATTTAAGCTTGCATCAGAAGGATTTCTCTTCTGTGACAGTGGAACTGAAGTCAGAAAAGCTCTAATTGAGAAAGTTTTAAGAGCAAAAAGGGACAAGAACTAACTGCTTACATGGACTGTTTGACGTCCTTTAACCTCGCGTTATAGTCACATAGCACCTCATGGGCAGGACAGCTCCAGCAGAGAAACCTGGACAGTTCACCACTATATTTCTCATGCTCTTCCAGTGGTCCTTGTACCCCCAATTCAAGAGATCCCATTTAGGCCAGGGACACAGAGACCACTTAGCCCAGTGATTAAACAACAGTTTCCTGCGGCTCCAAAGATTGCATTTCTGCGGGAGTAAAGCGCAGTCGCTCCAGCTTGGGTCTCATCGGGAGGCCACGGGCCATCTCTGTCCATCTCTGTCCACGGGCCATCTCTCCTTGTACACACAGACAGCTCTACCTGCTTTCTTTCTTCCTGGGCTGTTGTTTCCCAGAAAGTAACTCAGACATAGGAAAAACCTTCAGCTTTGACAGACACATGAAAACCCTGCCTTTGCATGCCTTTGAGATGTTAACCTCCTCCCCCCTCCACCATGTTGGTGGCTGTGTCTGTACAGGAATGACAGTAGCTGTCTGAAAGTGTCGTTTGCTTCCCTGAAGAGAGGACCCACAGTCTTGATTTCTGGCTCTGTTTATCCTCTGCCTTATGGACACATTTGCTGGCATTTGAGTGAGTCCATACCATTTTTTGAGACCTTGAAGTATATAGAAGGGAATCTTCTAGAGAACTAGTAGAGCATTTGCATTGGCCTGCTTTCAGGGATTAGCTACAAGGTTCATTTGTATGTCTCTGTTGCTTCTTGGCCAGTGTAGTCACAAAGTTTCTCTTTAATACCTAAGGTAGAGGTTTGGTCAGCAGTGGTTAATTCTGAAGGGTGACCTTCCGCCCTTTTAATATCTCTCTGCACTCTGCCCCACACACGGCCCTCACGACATTGATGTAAGCAGTATTTTATCAACGCAATATAATGAAATTTTTCTCGGCAATAAAGAATGTTCATCTCGCACATGTCATCTGCAGGCACGTGGATTCAGGAGAAGCACAGTTGAGTGGAAGAAAGGGTAGATGTTTGAGTCTTTACGGTCGCCCCACGTCCGCACAGGAAGTGGTGAGTGAGCCATGGGTCTGTCAGCGCCTCCCTCCCACCGTCACTTTGCCTCCACTCCAAGGTGCTGAGTTGTAAGGCTCCTCCATCGTCAGTGTCGGGCTAGCCTTTGCAGCCCTCGTCACTACCAATGCACTACTTTTCAAGAGGACTGAGTATTTTTGTATGTCTCTGTCGTCTTCTTTTTAAACATCACAGTTGTTCCGTATATGTGATTCTTGACTTCTCTGAACAG